AGATTATTGAAGCAATCAAGGATTTGGTCACAAATGCTCCGTTCGACTGCAGTGAAAACGCAATGTGCCTGCAGGTAATGTTTTTCTCTGTCTAGTTATTTGTACAACTTCACCATTTGTCTAATACCAATTAGGCTTATGCTTGGATAGAGGCGCAGACCCAATTTTCACATTTTGTAAAGGAGGAAGCGGTCGTAGCAGGTAACTGTGTAATTTACGCGGTTTCTGCGAAGCCGCATGAACTAGAGGACCACCTGTACGCATTTCATTTATCGTTGTTTGTAGGCAATGGACTCGTCTCATGTGGCGTTAGTATCGTTGAAACTAGAAGTTGGCTTATTTGAAACGTATCGTTGTGATCGAACCATTAATTTGGGAATGAGCTTAGCGAATATGGCTAAAGCTTTGAAATGTGCTAATAATGATGACACTTGTCTCATTAGATATGAAGAGAATGACGCTGACTCAATTACGTTCACATTCGAAGATACTAAGAGAGTTCGTTTTTGAATTTAATTCGCATATTTTCATTGTTTTTCAGCCTTCAAACTGTGAAAAATAAATCTCATGCATGTCACACAGTTCACAATAGGGTTGGTAACCAATAGACTTTCGTCGGTGACCTCGGGGTGAATGCCTATCGGTGGCCATAAATACAGTGGCAGATATGGTCAATGACAGATTTGCTATTTGATAACCACCGAAATCCGGTTTACCAGGGCACATCTGTCGGTTTCGCCGAGAGCTACTAACCCTACTCCTATTCCCTGTACAGTAGTGGAATGAATAAAATTATTTGATAATTCAGCCATATTTTGTTGGCGAAGACCCTGCAGTTCTTTCATCTTGATCATTTCGAAGAATTCTAAGTTTTAACTTTGTTAAGCTATCTGTTTCATAGTGGCTGGCATTCACCAGTTTCGTAATATTTTTCTCCGCAGTATTTTGCTGACCATTTTGGTTTAAGGGAAAGGCTCAAGATGTAACTGTAAAAATGATGGATCTCGATAACGAGCACTTGGGTATTCCTGATCAAGATTACG